TATCAACATCGTGCATGCCACAGCATTCCTATTGGACCCAAAACTCCTTAAAGGTAGGACCCAAGTAACTCTGACTGGCTTTAGTACACGTCTTGACCAATACATTTGTAGAATAAGTCAATGCATCAACAGTCAACCTTCCTCTGCCAAGTCAAAAGCAATGAGGTCTGGAAAAAGAAAAATGACACTAGCAAATTTCTCTTCTGTGCCCCCATAACTCTCACAGCATGGTAAGGTGCTTCCACTGGCCTCTTGTGGATAATCTATTGTATGTAGATATGTTGATAATGGGACAGATAACTTTATAGCAACAAGGCTGCTTTCCCCAGGAGAAATTAAGGGATTTTTAAAAATCTTGAGCACAAAAAGAACAAGGACTCTAGACTGTAGGTTGGAAAAAAGGAAAGACTACAAAAGCAGTGAAGGGTTTGAGTTGAGAAAGAACTTCCTGAATGTAGAACAGATTTTCCTGAGCAGCCCAAAACCAAGGGATTAAACTCTGTCCACAGAGCCGGGGGTAGAAGTGCAATATCTGGGCTTGGGAAAATTGGTGAGAACAGTCTCAGAAGCTGATTGCCTAACTTGTAAATACTTCCATTGACTCCCTGCCAGGAGAGCTCCTGTTACTGCTGATCAGAGGCATTGCCATGAAAAGTGACAAAACGGGAGTAGGGATTTGTGGGGGAGATTTGAGGGCCCTTAAGCTGGAAGCACAACCAAGAGGCCCAAGTTCCGAGAAGACTAATGATGAGCCCATGCTGGTCCTATCTCTAGCCCAGAAGGCTGACAGCTAATGCACGTGTGACCACTCTGGTGCTCCATATCGCCCTGGAAGAAAGCCAGTGGGGAAAATAAAAGACAGGTTGCAGTTTACTTAGAATCTGTCAGTAACCAAGACACTGGAACTCTCAGTAGGGCCACTGTAGATAGCTATGAGGATACTTCAAATAGTTCCCTGGAAAATGGAATAAGAAGAGCTTTATTTTGGTGCAAAAAAAAAGAAATTTATGTACAGATTTTTCATAGTATATGTTTTTCATTAACTTTTCTTTAAAAAAAAAAAACTTTTTAAAAAAAGGATAGTGATAGAGAGAGAAAGGGGTGGGGGTGGGGGAGAAACTCCACTCCCCAAATGCTCACTACTGCCAGGGCTGGGCCAGGCTGAAGCTGAGCGCTGGGAACAGTCTATATCTCCTACATGGGTGGCAGAAACCCAATCACTTGGGTCATCACCACTACCTCCAAGGGTCTGCATTAGCAGGGAGCTGAGTCAGAAGCTGGAAGTGGGGAACCCAGGCACTTTCTAATCAGGGACGAAAGTCTTAAGCTCAAAGCCTGCTTCCCATGAACTTTTTGAAGATTCTTCATAAGGATGGATTTCAAAATTTTGAGCACCAAAATGAACTTATCTTTTAATTCCATTTGCCATAAATTCTTTGAAGTCCTCTTATGTTCGTGCAGATTGCTGCCCACTGCCCTCCATGAGCTCATGCCCAACCCCATAAAACTCTGGGTACAGAATGAGAATATAGTCTGAGCACCAGAGTTACACTACCACACACACACACACACACACACACACACCGGCTTTTACGAAAAGCAGAACAGCTTGATGCCGCTTCTGGAAGAGTTGGAGGTCAAGGATTTGAGGGAACAGAACAAGAAGAATCTGCTTATCTGAGGATGACATGATTTTATTCTTATGGGCTACAAGTGACCTTCCAAGAACACGGGCCATGTGATCTCATTACTTCCAGAAAGAAGGTCACAAATTAACTAATCCGAGACCAAGACACCATTCCTGGCAGCTATCTCCCAACTTTGTCAAGGCCTGTGCTTAGATTACAGGTCAGTGGAGCATCACTATGTGGGCTCTGGGGTTGGTTCTATCTCTTAGTAGTTGGCTGACACTTAATGACTCTTGGTCTCAGTTTACCATCTGTCAAATGGGTTAATTATAACAGTACTTACCTCATGAAGTTTTTGTGAGAATCAAATGGGTTTGTGTGTAACACTCTTAGAACAGTTCTTGGTAATTGTTAACGATCTCTGTACAGATACTAATTCCATCCATTAGGTCCTGTTAAACTTTACCAAGATGTACTTGTTAATCTTTCAAGAAATTCAAGAAATTCAAGAACACTTGGTTCTATCTACTTAAAACACCGCCAACTTAGAATTACTGGGACAGTGCTCAGCAGGGTAAAACTTGGGACTCCTCTCATCTGTTGGCCTGTGAATTAGGTGACCTTCCAAAATAACTTAGTGGGGACACTCTTGGCCTCACCCTTCCTTGGATCAACTCAGAGTGATTGTGGGCTGGCTTCTAATTATGCATTGTACTGCCCAGTTCCTAAATTTTTATAACAGTAGGAGCCAGCTCTGTGGTGTAGCAGGTAAAACCGCTGCCTGCAGTGCCAGCATCCCATATGGGTTCTGGTTTGAGTCCCAGCTGCCCCACTTCCAATCCAGCTCTCTGCTATGGCCTGGGAAGGCAGTAGAAGATGGCCCAAGTCCTTGGGCCCCTGCATCTGCCTGGGAGACCTGGAAGAAACTCGCAGCTCCTGACTTCGGATCAGTGCAGCTCCGGTCGTTGCGGCCATCTGGGAAGTGAACCAGTGGATGGAAGACTTCTCTCGGCCGACGCCGCACCTCAATAGGCTAATCCTCCGCCTGTGGCACCGGCACCCTGGGTTCTAGTCCCCATCAGGGCGCTGGATTCTGTCCCGGTTGCTCCTCTTCCAGGCCAGCTCTCTGCTGTGGCCCGGGAGTGCAGTGGAGGATGTCCCAAGTCCTTGGGCCCCTGCACCCACATGGGAGACCAGGAGGAAGCACCTGGCTCCTGGATTCGGATCAGCGCAGTGCACCGGCTGCAGCGCGCCAGCCGCAGCGGCCATTGGGGGGTGAACCAATGGAAAAAAGAAGACCTTTCTCTCTGTCTCTCTCTCACTGTCCACTCTGCGTATATTAAAAAAAAAAAAAAAAAGACCTCTCTTTGTAACTCTGTCTTTCAAATAAATAAAATAAATCTTCAAAAAAAAGAAAATATTCATGCATTTCAGAATATTTTCATAAAAATTAATTTATCTGTTAGTTCTGCTTTTCTGCAAATTTTTAAAGTATCTTTGTATATCCGTTCTATCTAAATCAATGCTAGTCTAAAGCTGATTATTATTAAACTTTTCTATTAAATTTGTAACACAGGAGAGAGCCACATTCCATATATTTGCCAGGGGGTATAATTTCTAGCATATTGTTACAAGTTATAGAGATATCAAAAGTCCTACTGAGGAAAATAATATTCCTGGAGGATTGTGTGTCTTTCTATTCTACTAACCACTTATTAAAAAAGCTTTTTATGATGGTTGCTGACATAGGTTGCTAACTTATTTTACCCAATAAGGATGTCACAGAAAGTATCTCCTAATTGGAAGTTTTATGGATGTTTAACTTTATGGAAAAGTCACTACTCACTGCATTGCCTTGTGTTTTCTTTTCATCAGGAACCTATGAAACTTCATCACCGACTGCCAGACTGGCCCTTGAGAACAACTGGATAATTTATCAATTAGCCCCACATGAAGCCCCTCACACCTGGACATGCTTCACACTGTGGGCAGCTGCAGAAGTGCTTCCACTCACCAGCACTTTGATCTAAGCCCAGGGCTAAATGAGGAGTGTCCTAGAAAAGTGGCTTTGATGCTTGTCACCTCATTCAGCACAATGGTAAAGACCTTTCTGTTGACATTAGCCAGGATTTTCTCCTGGAATGTCTACTGGGGGAGATCTCACTCTGTTCTCAACAACAGAAGTACCTGGACTTGTCTGAGCAGATTTGTCTTTTATCTTTTGTATTATGTGAATCTGTTTATCCTCTCTCTTCACACACTCGCCTTGAAACTTTTAACACAGCTATGTGGCTGACTTCTGTTAAGCACACCAAAATTCCAAGAAAGGAAAAGTCTATGTACAACCCCCTTGCTCCTGGATGTACCCTACACTCCTACCATCTTTCTTCCTTTGCTTCATATTTTTAACCCCTTTGAGCTTGGTGTGCTACATGTTTCTTTGTAAGCTATCTAAAATCCTTTGAAGGGCTCTGAGGGGTCTACTTAAGTAGGGAAATTTGCCAACAGAGTCACACCTGGGAAGCAGAACTAGCAGCACGAGGACTCCAGGCTGTCCAAGGGGCCCAGGAGCACATCTAGAACTTTTTGGCACACATTTCCCAGCACTTTAAGTGTCCAATGAAGACACCAGCTCCAGACACTGGGCTGTCTGTTGTCCTGCTCTGTATTTTAGCAGGAGCCATTGGGCCTTCCACTGTGGGAGCAAATGTCAGTTTCAAATGCCTCAGACTGGAGAACAGGTCAATAGGAGGGGTGTTCAAAAAGTTTGTGGAATATGTATATTATGAAAATCTAGGCATGATCTTCAAAAAATTTTTTGCACCAAAATAAACCTACTTTTTAATCCCATTTTTTCCCACAAACTGTTTGAAGTACCCTCATTTTTGGGAAAGGGGCCATTAACTAAATCAGGGTTGATCCAACTACAAATCCCAATCTAATCCCAATCTATTGAGACCAACAATGTGGTGTAGTGGGTAAAGCCGCCGTCTGCAGTACCAGCATCTCATATGGGCACTAGTTCGAGTCCCGGCTGCTCCACTTCAGTCCAGCTCTCTGCTATGACCTGGGATAGCAGTAGAAGATGGCCCAAGTCCTTGGGCCCCTGCACCCACATGGAAGACCCGGAAAGAAGCTTCTGGCTCCTGACTTTGGACCGGTGAAGCTCAGCTGTTGTGGCCAACGGGAGTGAACCAGCAGATGGAATACCTCTCTCTCTCTCTCTCTGCCTCTCCTCTCTCTCTGTGTAACCCTGACTTTCAAATAAATAAATAAATCTTTAAAAAAAAAAAAAACCTTTTGTTTCTCATGTGTGCTGGATTGCAAAAAAAAATATATTCTTCTTGGGGCCAGAGCCGTGGCTCACTTGATTAACCCTCCGCCTGCGGCGCCAGCATCCCATATGGGCACTGAGTTCTAGTCCCGGTTGCTCCTCTTCCAGTCCAGCTCTCTGCTGTGGCCCAGGAAGGCAGTGGAGGATAGCCCAGGTGCTTGGGCCCCTGCACCCGCGTGGGAGACTAAGAGGAAGTACCTGGCTCCTGGCTTCAGATCAGCATGGCGCCGGTTGTAGCAGCCATTTGGGGGGTGAACCAACGGAAGGAAGACCTTTTACTCTTTCTCTCTTACTGTCTAACTGCCTGTCAAAAAAAAAAAAAAGAGAAAGAAAAAAGAAAATATATTCTTAATAATTATGAAAATTGCCTTAAATGATAGTACATAAGAATTGCCTATTCTATCAAAACTCATACATTATATAGGCCTTGGCCTACATTTGAGTCCATCTCCGCTTCCAATCTAGCTTCCTGCTAATGTATATCCCGGGATGCAGCCATGATGGTTCAAGTACTTGGGTTCTTACCACCCATGTGCCAGACCTGGATGGATTTCCTGACTTCTGGCTTTGGTCTGGCCCAGCCTTGCCTCTCATGGGCATTTGGGAAGTGAATCAGCAGATGAAAGATCTCTTGTTCTCTCTCTCTCTCTCTCTCTCTCTTTCTCTGCCTTCCAAATAAATAAAAATAAACAAAAAAACAGGTACTGGGCCTGGTCATACCCAAACCCCACTCACAAACTGTACCACACAGAATTCCACATTTTCCTAGCAGAATGTCCTTTCATTGGTAAGTCTGACTGGTAAGTTTTTGTGTTCTGTGCAAGGGTTCCACAGACAAACAGAACCAATGGGATGTATACATACATGCATACACGTGCTCTGGCTCGAATGAGCCCTCCAAAATGCACATTGCAATGTAATTGCCATTGTGACAGGTCAAAGAGATAGGGCCTTAAAGAAATGATTAGATGGAACTGGTGCTGTCGTGTAGCAGGTAAAGCTGCTGCCTGAAATGCCGGCATCCTGTATGGGTGCAGGTTCCAGACCCAGCTGCTCTCCTTCCCAACCAGCTCACTGCTAATGGCCTGGGAAAGCAACAGAAGATGGCTCAAGTGCTTGGGACTCTGCACCCATGTGAGAAACCCAGATGAAGCTCCTTGGCTCCTAGCTTCAGCATGGCCCAGTCCTGGCCACTGTGGCCATCTGGGGAATGAACCAATGGATGGAAGATTGATCTCTCTTTCTCTCTCTGTAATTCTTTCAAATAAATACATAAATCTTTAAAACAAACAAAAACAGTGTTCTCTTTAGTCCCCCCCCCCAAAAAAAAGGGGGATTAGCTCATGGGACATGGGTCATGAGTTCCTGCTAAAAAGGATGATCTTCTCCCATTTTCTCCCATTCCCCACTTCCGGCCTCTCTCTCACCATGTGATGCCTCCCGCCAAGTTCTGATACAGCAGGAAGGTCCTCCCCAGGTGCAGTCTCTCAGTCTTGCACTTGTCAGCCTCTAGAACCATGAGCCAAATGAATCTCTATGGCTTATAGTTTACAAAGTCCACGGTACTCTGTTAACAGCAGCAGAAAACAGACTGAGACACTGTGTGTGTGTATATACATATATATGTGTGTGTGTGTATCTATACACATGTGTATACACATGTGTGCATAATGTGAGCAGATACCTATATGGGAGAGGCTTGAAGGTTGTTTTAAGAAATTGGCCCCACAGTTGTGGAGGCTCAGTAAGCCCAGACTCTGCAGGGCAGGCTGGAGGATGGAGACCCAAGGAAGAGTTGCACTCCAAAGGCAGACTGCAGCCTTGGGAGAACTGGTCTTTATTCTAGCAAGGCCTACAGCTGAATGGACTTGGACAAGACCTATCCACATTATGGTAATCTGCGTTACTCAAAGTCAGCACATGTTTAGTAGAGACACAAGATTTTTTTTTTCAAATAGTTTCAATCTGGAATGAATCTACAGAGGCAGAGCCTGCAGTTCAGAGGACCCTCATATATCTAATTCTAATAATGAAGACAAAGTTTGAATACTTTCAAAACATACGTAAGTGGGCCTGTAGCGGTGGTGCAGTAGCACAGTAGGTTAATCCTCCGCCTGTGGCGCCAGCATCCCATATGGGTGCTGGTTCAAGTCCCGGCTGCTCCACTTCTGATCCAGCTCTCTGCTATGGCCTGGGAAAGCAGTAGGAGATGGCCCAAGTCCTTGGGCCCCTGCACTCACGTGGGAAACCCAGAAGAAGCTCTTGGCTCCTGGATTTGGATGGGCCCAGCTCTGGCCATTGTGGCCATTTGGGAGTGAACTAGTGGATATAAGACCTTTCTCTCTGTCTCTCCCTCTCACTGTCTGTACTCTACCTCTCAAATAAATAAATAAAATCTTTAAAAAATAACATAAGTTTCTCTTAATCACACTTTCAAACTGGCAGAACAAACAGTAACCAACACTGACAACAGTCAGTCTACCAGGCTGACTATACAATCTCTAAAAGAATTGATCCACATGGAGTGAACATAGGTACTGTTTATTTCCTTTAAGAACTAATTGTTAAATTATTATTGGAAAGCAATCAGCAAGATCCATCCTATGGGAAACTATGTACGGCATTCAATCAATTTCTTCCACAAATATATATCCAGGACAGGAGACAGAGAAAGAGGGGTGGGCAAAGAGAGAATGAGGATTTTCACACTTTAGTGCGCATCAGGGTCACCTGCAGGGCTGCTTATGAAGTCCCAAACACAGTTTCTGAATCAGTTGGATTTACAAATGATAGAATTTGCATTTCAAATAAATTCCCAGGTAACAGTGATACACAAGTCTGGGGACCACAGTTTGAGAATCACTGGATTAGAGACTTACAAAAGAAATCTATAAATTGCAATATTCGGGCCTTATTTGAATCCCAAATCAATTGTAAAAAGTTAGATAATTGAACACGTTAGCATTGACTGCTTGCTAATATTAAGGAGTTACTGCTTTTTCCTTTTTAGGCATGATAATTGTATTCTAGCTATTTTTATTGAAAAGCATTTGTATTTTAGAGATAAATACTAAAACATTACAGCTGTTTATTGTGTGTCCCTCCAAAAGTCACGTTGAAATTTAAATGCCCATGTAATATAGATTGGGTATCTCACTTTGGGTGCTTGGGACCAGGAACGTTTTGGGTTTCAGAGCTGTTCACATTTTAGAATATTTTGTATGCACTTTTCCAGTTGAGCACCCCTAACCCAAAAATCCCAAACCTGAAATGCTCCAAAACCCTAAAGTTTTTGAGTGGGTGTGCTAAAAGTGTTGCAAATTTCAGAGCACTTTGGATTTCGCATTTTCAGATTCAGGATGCTCCACCTGTACCATGGCTCCTCTGCCATGGGTGAGATTAAGCCCTTATAAAAGAGGCTTCACACAGACTGCCCAGAGCATCTGGCCCCTTCAGCTATTCTGCCACGTGAGGACTCAGAGTTCAAAGCCCCATCTGGCGCGCAGAGCTGGGGCTTTCACCACATACAGAACCTGCCAGCACCTTGATCTGGAACTTCCAGAAGTTGGAGTGTCTACTCTGTGGTATTTTGTTATAGCAGCACAAATCAACTAAAATACCGATTTCTTGCTAAACCATCTACAGGGTGGTGGCAAGTAATAGGGATGCTACAAAAGAGACAAGATTGGGGCTGGCACTGTGGCATAGCGCTTAAAGCCACCACCTGCAGTGCCGGCATCCCATATGGGCACCAGTTCAAGTCTTACTTTCAAGTAAATAAATAATCTTTTTTTAAGGATTTATTTATTTATTTGAAAGAGTTACACAGAGAGAGAAGGAGATGCAGAGGCAGAGGGAGAGAGGTCTTCCATCCGCTGGTTCACTCCCCAATTGGCCGCAATGGCCAGAGCTGCACCAATCTGAAGCCAATAGCCAGGAGCTTCTTCCAGGTCTCCCACATGGGTTAGGGGCTCAAGGACTTGGGCCATCTCCTACTGCTTTCCCAGGCCATAGCAGAGACCTGGATCAGAAGTGGAGCAGCTGGGACTTGAACTGATACCCATATCGGATGCCAGCAGTGCAGGTGGTGGCTTTACCCACTATGCCACAGCGCTGGCCCCTAAATAAATCTTAAAAAAAAAAAAAAAAGGAAAGAAAAAGAAACCAAGATTGACCAGGGGAATAATTGTTGAATATGGGTGATGGGTACCTGGGGTCTTATTTTGTTATTCTCTCTGTTTCTGTGTATTCCATAATAAAAAGTTTATAAAAGAAAAAAGTGGACTCAAGTCCTTTTTAAATGCCCCTTTCACTTCTATAGAAACAAGTCATCTTTCTTTTTTAATCACTTCTCATTATAAAAACAAAAGCGGAGGCATCATTCATAAAAAGGGCAAAGCTTTCATTAATTATTCTCTTTAACTAGAAAAGGCCCTAAATTCAATCGAATCCCATTATAACTCAGATGTCAAGGATAAGGAATGACTGCAGCACTTCCATCCGTCAGCGTGCGTGCGGAAGCATCGTCTGCCCTAGCAGACACTGCGCCTTTGCTTCTTCTCCCCTTCGCTTCCCTTCACAGTGAGCCTGCTCTGCTCTGTACCACCTGGAGGTTGTTTTCGGTCAGTGTTCAAAGACCAGGCAAGGGAAGGACCCAGATGTGATGCTTCCTCCACTGGGAGATCACAGTCGCGATTTAGTCCGAGTTAAAAATACCCACTGATTTATTACAAATACTCGGAAAAATTTGGTAGAAAGAGGTGATGAGAAGAAAATCTATCGAAATAGATGGTGGCTTTTCTTTGTATGAGTAGGTTTCTTCCTTTCCTGGAGATGACCACTGACCCCTGGGGTTTAGAACTGGAAGAAACCTTTGAAATCGTTACAATAAACTCCCTACTTAACAGTAATACCTGATACCCAGGTAAATTAAATGATGTGCCCAGAGTGAAAAACCCAGCTAATAACAGAGGTCTATATGCATTTCAAACACACACACACACGCACACACTTTCTGGTTCCATGAAAGAGAAAAAGGAAGAGAGAGAAGAGAAAAGGAAAAGGAGACAGGGAGAGCTGACTCACAAAACCACTATGAAGGAACATTTTTGTAGCACAGTGACATTTTAAAATAACATTCTATGTACCTGCTGATTTTTGGTCTAAAATTGGAAACTGAGTTGGGGGAGAGTCAGTCAAGGTCCCCAGTAGATAACATTTGGTAAATTAAGAGTTAAAGAAGGAGCCAGAAACCCCTGGAATGCTGTTGCTGGAGTCAACAGCCTAGAAACAATTTGCAGTCAATAACAACAACAACCGCTGATGGTTTTAAGCACTATGCACTAGAGACTTCACCTCACTCTTCACCCCACACTTCATCCCCATCACAGCTCTGCAAGGTAAATTCCACCCTCCTCATTGTGCACATGTGGAAACAGAGGTTCCAAGAGGTTAGTAAGTTGCCCAACTCCATATGGAGGGATGGATCTTTTCTATCCTCCCCCACTCTCATTACTAACTCCTTTCCCACTGGTCCAGTTCTATGGCCTGTGTCTGGCAAAGAAGCCCCAAGTTCAGTGTTGAAAGTGGGGGTGAAGGGAAATGAAGGCTTAAGGGCAGTTCAGGTTTTGCTTACCAAGCCATGGGCTGTCTTTTTCCGGAGGCGGCACCTTTTAAAATCTACACAAAGGCACTTTTATGAACCAGTGGTGGCCCAAGTTTTTCCCCCGTGCCTTGGGAATCCTTACTGGAAGGAGCCAACATTCCTGGAATTTTTCCCTGTGTTGGAATGGCTCATTGCCTAATAGGACCAGAAATGCCCTGGCACAGTGTGTCGAAACAGGTCACGATCAGTAGAGTTGCCTTGTCTGGGCAGGAATGGGAAGTAACTGCAAGTAGGCAAGAGGTGATGTTTTAGGGTGATGGAAGATTTCTAAAACAGAAATGTGGTGATTTATTGAAACTCCAACTGTTCATTTACTGGGATAAGTTTTATGTATGGAAATTTTAATAAAGTTGATTTTTAAAATGCATCATCAGAGCAGTAACTCCTAAGTTGGCATCATTCTATAAAGTCACTCTATAAAGATAAAATATATCCAAGGATGAACAAGGTTATGATACAGTTAGACCAGGATGTGAAATACAGAGATTTAAAGATCAGGGTTGGTCTCAGAGGTCAGGGGACCCATACAGACACAGAACCCTAAGCTTAGAAGAACCCCATCCTAGAATTAATGGCAAGTGTTTGCTGTCCATCTTATCTTTGAATCTGTGTTTTGTAAATGAAGATCAATGGGACAAAGATGAAGGTGTATGCACAGAGGAGCTATCTGCAATAAGGGTCCACAGTTCCTTGCTACCCCATTGGCATACAGCAGTGTACTCAGTCCCATGAATACAGAATTCCAGTGATGCATGGGGTTTTGATTTCAGCAAGATTCAAAGCCAGTCCAGGGTAAGCATGGCATTTATATGGCTAGGTAGGAGGAGGGAAAATGACAGCACCCAAGAAGCCATACTTTCTATTTGAACTAGACCTTGTCTCACTGCAGACAGAAGGCAACGACATTCTACTCAGTCTGGAGGGACTTGGGCATCATATGTAAAGTCTGATTTTCCCACAACTTCCATGTTTAAAACTCAAGTCAACCACACAGAGAGGCCATGTAGAGAGAGGAGAGAGCTACCTGGCTTGTCACCAGCTTTTCCAGTCATTCCAATCCTATCATCTCCTTTCTGATTTGTGTTACTTCCCTGCATTTACCAGCCACTTACCTCGAAAATGATGACCTTAAAGGAAAGGGAAGAGAGAGCAACCCACAGCTCCTTTTCCTTCAGACCTTCCTCACTTGTGAGGAAAAGGCAGAGTATTGGTAGAATGTGCACATACCAAGAGGTGAACAAAAACAGTTGTTAGTTATGTGCAATGTTTCCACCATTCTAAAGATAAAATCCGTACATATGCAAGAGCTAGGAAATATGGGGGCCAGCATAGTGGCGCAGTGGGTTAATCCTCTGCCTGTAGTGCCAGCATCCCATGTGGGTGCCAGGTGGAGTCCTGGCTGCTCCTCTTCCTATCCAGCTCTGTGCTAATGCACCTGGGAAAGCAGTGGAAGATGGCCCAGTGCTTGGGACCCTGTACCCACGTGGGAGACCTGCAGGAAGCTCCTGGCTCCTGGCTCCTGGCTTCGGATCGGCCCTGGGAGACCTGCAGGAAGCTCCTGGCTCCTGGCTCCTGGCTTCGGATCGGCCCAGCTCCAGCCATTGTGGCCATTTGAAGAATGAACCAGCAGATGGAAGACCTTTCTCTCTCTCTCTCTCTCTCTCTCTCTCTCTCTCACTGTAACTCTACCTCTCAAATAAATAAATAAATCTTTAAAAAAAGAGCTAGGAAATACAAATTGTGTATCTGTGATTCCACATGAGTTAAAATGCTCTTACACTTGTAATTAAAGCTGGGGTTTCACAATATAGAGATGAATGGAAAAATTCATGCTAATTTAAACTTTTCCATCTTCCTGTACTAAGATTGGCATTAATTAGAAAACTTTGACAACACCATGACAAATTGTGAGACAGTAGAAAAAAGAGACAACTGTGATATTAATTACCTATAACATATAATGTGATATTAATTACCTATATTAATAACCTATAACATCTATAAATGTGATAATAATTACCTATATATTACCTATATAGCATTTTCTCCCTGCATTTTGAATAAGGGGGTCCTGGTTTGTATAGTGCTCCAGTTCTCAAAAATCCTGAAGTTTCTCCTTTAAAAAAAAAAAAAAAATTGTATTTCGTTATTTGAGAGGTAGAGTTATAGACAGAGAGAGGAAGAGACAGAGAGAGGGAGGTCTTCCATCCACTGGTTCACACCTCAAATGGCTGCAACGGCCATAGCTGGGCCAATCTGAAGCCAGCAGCCAGGAGCCTCTTCCAGGTCTCCCACACAAGCACTTGGGCCCTCTTCTACTGCTTTCCCAGGCCATAGCAGAGAGCTGGCTCAGAAGACAAGCAGCCGGAACATGAACTGGTGCCATATTGGGTGCTGGCACCATAGGTGGAGGTCTAGCCCACTATGCCACAGCACCAGCCCCTTGAAGTTGCTCCTTTTAAAAATAACTGTACACCCTGCATGTTTTCCATATGTCAAAACTGAGACTGGAAGAAATGGTATGGCCATCTCACTCAAAGGCACAGTTAGAAATAGACCCAGCTCTACAACCCATGTCTGACTCCCAGGTCTTCCCATTCCTGCAAAGATTGAAAAAAAAAAAAAACAAAATAAAAACCCCAAGCTGGCTTAAACTAGGGATTCTCATACAGCATTTCAAATCAGCAAGTTCAAAGAATGACCAAATTAGATACAATTGCTACAAATGGCTCTCAGAGACTTTGAAAGTTGGCATTGGGGCATTTTGTTTGAAGCAAGTAAACATATTTTCTGAGCCTAGAATATCCCCCCAACACTAGCGAGCTGAAATAGATTATAAATACAGCATAGAGAGTATTCATGGGAATTGCAGCTAACTGTCTATTTGTAAAGCCAGCTGGTTTCCAGTTAAACATTTTTTAAACAAGGAAAAATATTGTGTTTTATTGAAATATGAACAAAGGCAGGCATAGGCCCTGCCGCTTTCCTGAGCATTTAAAGCCCTGTACCTGTAGTGGGCAGTGGGATCAGATGACCTCCGGGACAGCAAGAGACAATAGACTTGCTCCTCCCTTGATGTGGGCAACAATCTTGGTAATTGTTGATAGCGAAGTAAATACAGCCCGCCCTCTACATTTTGAATCCACAAGTAGTAATTATCATAAGCAAGCCTTAACCACCTTCAGAGAAATCTGCCTTTAAAATTGCTAGATGTGATTCACGAAACAAAATAAAAACCACAATTGATCTGGTTTGGATTTAAAAGAATATTCTTAGTCAAATCTGTGCTGCTGAATAAAGCCCTGTGTAGCCCTTAATGCTTCAGGTCCTATCCAGATACGTTTGTTCACGACCCACCTTGGAGTTCCCCCTCCTCCTGGGAACCCCCCCCCCCACAGTGTTTCAGTTTCAGGTAAAGCAAATGCTAAGAGTCGGATCCTAGGACGGGAAGTGACAGACATAACAATGATAGCTAATAACATTTCCTAAGCCCTTACTGTTTGCTGGGCACCGCACAAAGAGCTTGTTAGGTTCATTATCTCAATAAATCTTCCAACAGTTCCGTGGGGTAGGATTAGCCCATGAGGATACAAAATAAGTGCCGTGTCCATGAGTCACACCAAATCGGGATTCCAAAGCCTATCTGACACGAGTCATCTAGTGGTAAAGCAGGTCAGGATCCGGAGGGGCCTGTGCATCATTTCCCCCGTCACCTGTGCCCTGTACCTTCTTCACCTTGTCCCCCCATTGCCCTATTTCCAGCGTGCTGATGCTGAGACGTTCTTCATCCAGGTAGTCCAGCATGGATGGTGACATACTGAAGCCACTTCATCCCAGGCCACCATTGACTAGGGCCTCTGTGGGAATTAGAAATTGTATGTATGTATTTATTTATTTATTTGAAAGACAGAGAGACAGATCTTCCTCTGCTGGTTCACCCCTCAAATGCCTGCCACAGCCAGGGATGGGCCACACCAAAGCCAGGAAACAGAACACAGTCTATGTCTCCCATATGGGTGGCAAGGACCCATTGACTTGAGCTAGCACCTCCTGCTTCCCAGGGCAGGCACCCTCCTTTGAGTAGACAGAGAACAGGCCAGACTTTTCCCTCTCTTGCTGGACTTCCTTTGGAAGGAAACAATTTCTGCCTTGAATGAGGAGGCTCAGAGCTTACCCCTATCATTTTAAATGCTGGTCAATTGGATGTCATTTTGGATAACTGTGATATGATTACACCTCTTGTGATTACACATGGACTGCCATGTGTTCCAGGAAGGTCAAACACATCCTTTAAAAGAAATAAAATTGGTCTTCAACAAATTTGTAGGCATTTTTTTTCTGTGGTCCTTTGAAGGAGCCCCAACTCCCAGGAGACTGCATAAAGACTGGAGATTTGGGTGCTGTTGAATAGACTCATTAAACTCAATAACCCTTAATTGGAAGACATGCGGGAGAAAGCTCCATGTGTCTTGTGCATTAGTGTTCTTGAGAGAGAGCAGAGCGTGACCATTAGAGAAATAAATCCAATCAATAACAGTTTGCCTGAACACAATTCAAGCTGGTGAGTAAAGAACTGAATCTGCTTTCAGAAAAATGGCCTGACTCTGACCTTGCAGATAACTTTCTTCCTATCCAATCAGGGACTACGCTACACTCAACTGGTCTGATCCCCACATAGCCATTAGTGTAGGAAACTGAGTAGGAAACTTTCATTGCTATGCAAGTGTCTAGAATTTACAGCAGGGAATCAAATCTCTCATTTCACAGAGAGGACAAAACAGAAGCTACTCATTCAGTATGGCTCAAAATTCTCACATTCCCAGGTGGGTGCAATACACATTTTCATTTCAAAGGCAGATTGTCAATGTTCCTGTATTCAATTGTATTAGAGTCTCAATCTTTCAAAAGTATTGGGTCAAGCTATCTTATTACTCCATCAAAATTTGGCTCCAGTGCAAAATCAGTGCTTCATAGGCGCTGTGAACCAACCAGTCTACCAGCAACCTTGTCCCTAGGAGTCTGACCTTTCCAAGCTGAGCCCTAGAGGCCCACATAAGAGC